CTTTTGTTTGTCTGGGATAGTCTTTATCTTTTCTTTATTGCTGAAGGGTACCTTTGCTGGGTACAATATTCTTGTTTGACAATATTTTTCCTTCAGCATTTTGAATGTATTATCCTGCTTCCCCCTGGCCTGTGAGTTTTCCGCTGAAAAGTCTGTGGCTAGGTATATTGGAACTCCTTTGTATGTTATTTGCTTCTTTTCTCTCGTTGCTTTCAGGATCTTCTTTTTCTCTTTGGTTTTTAATAGTTTGATTATAACATATCTCAGGGTAGTCTTGTTTGGATTGACTCTGATGTTAGGGACCAATGCTACACTAAATTCCTTCTACACTAAATTCCTTCTCTTTCACTCAAGTGGATGCTATCTCTCCATGCTATACTGCCTAGAATTGGGGAGGGGAGATGCAGGTAATGTGAAATGGTTTTTGTTACCCTCTTCAGTGTGTCTTTCCTTATTATTATACTGTAATAAGGTACTGTGCTTTCTCACCTGGTTTCCTTAGCTCTTGTGAAGGTATCTTTATGCATGGATAGGTGTTCAAATTGATGTTTCTGCAGGTGGCCCATCTCTGAACAGTCTTATTCTGTCATCTTGCTCTCCCCTTCCTCTCAATTCTGGATATATATGTTAATCCTCATGACTTCAGACTCTCAAATCATATATATTATAAACAGTTTTTCGTTTTTGACAGTGAGTACTTGCTGAAGGTGATCCCCATTAAGCGTTGCAAGGAATTCATCAAACGACTGAAATGATATGATTCATGTAAGATGTTATTAGAAATTATTTTACTGAGCTGGGATTTAGTGGTAGGGAGATTTTGACTTCACCTCTTTTCTCAGTAGTAGAAACAATACATCCTATTTTTTTTTATGCATGTTGGAGTCCCATTTCTTTGGGTTTCTTTGGGATAACAGAGCAAAATCCTTACTAGAGCCTATAAAACCAGATGATATTTATCTTAACAGCTTCCTCTTTCAGTTCTTTCCCTCGGCCTAACCTTCCTAGCCTTCCTTCCATTCTATGAACATATCATGATCCTTCCTGACTGAATTTTGGTAGGTTGTTTCTATAATTGATTCTTCCTGCTTCCCCCTACAAAAGTCTTAATTATAATTCTTAGCTGAGTTCAGATATCACCAAACCCTCTTCGACACCTTGAATACATCGGATATTCCCTTTACGTGTTCTCTTGGTGCCCTTCATAGAATTGATAGTAACTGAATAAGCACTTGAGTGATGAGTTTGATAATATGACTCTTCTGCCAGAATGTAAACTCCATGAG